AAGTGACAGAAGAGAACAGGCACATTTGAAGAACTGAACAAAATTCTGTATGGCTGGAAGTGGGATCTGCAAACATAAATGAATGAAGCAGGCTAGCTATAAGAGTGGTCAGCACAGCAGGCAGAATTTGACCCAAGAGCCATTCCCTTGTGATTTCTGGGCTGGATATAGAAAGCAAATGAGTAAGTGGCAGGAGATGAGGCTGAAGGGGTAACCAGGGTCCAGACTGGGTAAGATCTTGTAAGCCACAATTGAATGTTACCCTAAAAGCAGAGGAATTGTTGATGGGATTTAAGAAGGAGTCTGACATATTCCAATTTGTGTTCTTAAAAAGTTGTTCTGGTTACAATGTTGAGAATGAATTAGACAGGAACAATATTGTAGGAAGCCACTGCAGTAATAGAGGTGAGTAATGACAACTGGCCTTTCCAAAATTATGTGAAACATACTTGATCTAGAAGCTCATTTGTTCATTCATTATGGGGAAAAAGGAATCTCAGTGCTGGTGAGGATGATTCCCAACATTCTGTTTCTTTCTCCCTCTCATAATGATGCCAGATAATGCATATTGTGTGTATGAATGCCATATTCCATGTTCTTATTTTAATGACTGAGCATGTATATTATTTTAAATTTCAGAAAGTTAATACAAAATAGTGCTTACATATTTTCTGGGTCTTATGTTTTTGATATTGTAATTACCTGCAATCTAGAAAATATACAAACCATCCCAATGTGTGTTACATTCTTTATTCCGCTTAGTTATTCATTTTGGACCTGGAGAAAACCATTCAGAAGATGCAGTCATGATGAATACACCCGTGGTTAAAGCTGCTTTGGAAATGGGCTTCAGTAGACGGCTGGTAAAGCAGACAGTTCAGAGCAAAATCCTAACAACTGGGGAGAACTACAGAACCGTTAGTGATCTTGTGTTGGATTTACTTAATGCAGAAGATGAAATAAGGGAAGAGGAGAAAGAAAGAGCAACCGAGGAAAAAGAATCAGGTACACATATTTCTTAATACAGTCCCGTTTCCATAAGGATTCGATGTCACTGTATATAAGTTATTGAATAGATGCTCAAAGTTAATACAATCAGGTTTTAGATTCAGTATTCTGCAGTTGAATTCTAAAAAATTTCTTCACATTAAAATATTTTTGAATTGCTTATTAGTAAACTGAAAATGTATATATTGAGGAAAAGCATTTTTTTCCTGCTTTTTAAAAATTTCTGTTTTTACTCTAGATAGTTGACCGTGTACGTAATTATTCATGGCACATTTTTGATCTCAGACTAGTTGCTCACTCCTCTTTGCTGTAAATTGGGGTGGGATCAGGGATAATTATTAATTTTAATATTAGTGTAACAGTGTGTCTCAGCCTGTGACTGTAGATTAATGTAAAAACTGTAGCTAAGTTTCCTGTTTGCCCACGCAGCAGAAACGGAGCTCCCCTTCCAGGTGTCCCTCTGTTGCTGAGGGGGAGCGCGAGGATACTGTTTCACATACTCTCAAGACAAGTTACGCGTGTCCTTCCCTGCCAGCTTTGTCTGCTACCTGCTGCCTCTAGTCTGTGCCCTTCCCAGAAACCTCTCCTCTGGCACATCCATTCTCACCCAGTTGTTCTGACTGCCATCATCCCTCAGGCCTAGACAAAGAGAAGTGTCCATCCCTCCTTTGCCACTCTTTCCCAAGCATGGACCAGATCTGAGTCCCTTCAACACAGCTGAAAACAGACAACAACTGTAACGAGCTCTTATGGAGATTTAGGGTTAACAGAAGGGCATCAGACCACAGATGGCGACTGACAACCAGAACCATGTGTGGTCTCTCTGGGTGCCCCTAAGCCCATCCTCATGAACCTCTCTGCCAAGCTCCCAGTTCATCTCTCTGTGGCTCTGGTCAGTTTCCACAAATGACTAGGGAGGCTGGCAAAGCTCAGACCTCCATGTATCCACAAAGCCCGCAAAGAGAAAGATCTGCCCCATATCCTTGTCCAAGGCCGCCTGGGACCTCTTTCTTCCCAGGATGGTTGGTGGTGAGATGATTCACTCCATTCCTGGATTAACCTAACCCTGACCAACCAGACAAACACATCAGACTGTGGTAACACGGCCTCCTCTATTTACCAAGGTGTGAATTATTCAGTTCTACACAACCTCAGGACAGCAGCAGCGTTCATCTCTGCCCGGCCTAGTCAAGTTCTCTTTGTCATTGGGAAGTGAAGATGAGGCCGCGTGTCCTTCCTGTAGTCCTCTCAGTCTTAACCACTGGTCATTGAAGAAGAGCACTCCATCCCCACAATTGTTTGTAGACTCTATGAAATCTAAAGCCATCTAGCTATAAAATATTTCTTTTTCTTCCAAAAAATTTAACAAAGTTTCCAGAGATGACTCCAAGTCAACAATATACAGTAGCTTACATTGTCCAGAAGATCTATTCACTTCTCGGCTCACTGTTATGTCCATTGCCTAGCACAGTATACAGTCTGTGTTCAAGAAATATTTTTTGAATGACTGAGTTGAAATACTTCTGTTTACATTGCTGATTACTTTATAGTCTCCCAGAACAGTAGGTGAGGAATTTCTTGATAGGTGTATAAATAAAGAGGCAACTTAGGGTATTTTTTCCAGAATAAAAGAATAATATACTTCAAAGCTATATTCAAGTCTTCACCTCTTACAAGCCAGAATACAGTCTATGACTTTGAAATGAGACTCTTTTCCTTAGCTACTGGCAACCCCATTTTAGAAATCTTAAGAATTGCAAAGAACTTATTGTACTGGGTTAAGTAAAATATAATTAGAAAAATAAAAAATTGAAAATTAATATGCTTCAAGTGTAAATTATATTTCAACTTTCTGATACACCACTACTTCTTTAGCACAGACTATTTAGCAGCATGTTAAGTTCTGATTCTCCTGTCCCTCTGGCTGGTAACTTCTTTGTTTCTGCTGCTCTTTAAATGGCTGAGGCTTGGTGGTTCATTTGTTCAGCAGGTGTCCTTGGAGCACTGACTTTGTGCCGGACACTGTTCCAGGTCCTGGTCCATCTCTCAGAGCTTCAATTCTCTTCAAAATGTGCACCTCAAGCCCTTTCTGACTAAGCACTAATTTTTTATTCCTTATTAAAGGGTTCTATTCATGGGCCCTATTATTAGACAGTCAGTTTCTGAAATCTGACAATCATCTCCCTCCAAATAATTCTTCTTTGGACAGCCCAACTTCTCATTATTTCATAGAAAAGCTTTATGGGTCATGGCAACACTATGTGATAAATTTTTATGTGGGGGAGGTCATCAGGTTTCTTCACTGATTTCCACATCGGGGAGGTACTGGGGATTGAACCCTTGACCTCTTGGGTGCTGAGCATGTGCTCTACTGCTTGAGCTATATACCCTTCCCCCAACACTATATGATAATTAATTAATAAACTTAGATGCATAAGTCATAGTCTAAAGAGATAATAAAATTACAGATGTAAAATATTTTTACTAATAGGTAGAAAAATTAGATCTCAAAAGAAAATAAAGTGACCCCATAGGACAGGAAGGTGTCATTGACAAGTAGGATTTACTTTTCAACGTGCTGTAAGTGCCTTTCTCCCCTTACTATAAAATGTTTAGGTAATGGCAACATCGTGTCTGATTTGGGGAAGTAATAATTCATAATTTCATCTTGAAATGGAATTTTAAAGAAATTTTATGAGTGAATGATAATTGAAGAAAAAATATTCTATCATTTTAATTCTCTTGCTTTTGCCTTCCCCCCATTTGACTAGACTGGATTGAAATTTCAGTTTTATTAGGTTCTAAGTTTTATTTGCTTAAGGGCTTAGCAATGTTGCAGAATGGTTGAGAGCACAGATTATGACACCAAATTGCCTCAGTTTGACTTTTGCTTGGTTGTGTAGCAATTTACTTGCCTCTCTATGCCTCTGTTTTCTCATCTGCTAATTCAGGGTACTGGGTACCTACCTCAGAGGGCTGTGTGAAAAGATGAAATAGTTAATACGTGTAAAGTATCCATCAGAGTATTCCGTGTTATTTCTTATCACAAGTGGCATTATTATCAAGCACAAGGGATCAGGTCCCCCTGAACCTAGCCATCAGCGTCAGTGCCTAACTGATTATGAATTATGGCTGGTTTTAATTCAGTTATACGTGTAGGAAGTTTGTGGGTGGAGCCTGAACGTGACTGTGTTTGTTTTCTTTGCTGTAAAGGTGACCTGTCATTAATCCGGAAGAACAGAATGGCACTTTTTCAGAATTTGACTTGTGTGCTTCCAATCCTGGACAATCTGCTAACTGCCAGAGTGATTAATGAACAAGAACATGACGTCATTAAGCAGAAAACACAGACATCTTTACAAGCAAGAGAACTGATTGATACTATTTTGGTAAAAGGAAATTTTGCAGCCACCATATTCAAAAACTCTCTACAAGAAATTGATCCCATGTTATACAAGCATTTGTTTGGTGAGTGCTGGAAAACACTTTTGAAACTTTCTAAGTCAACTGAAAATATGCTCCTATCAATAATTTATGATTGATAGATCATTCAACCTAATGTATAAAATGTAATTGTACAAAATGAATAGACAATTCAATAGATAATTCAGTTGTACAAAAAGATTAAAGACTTTCATCGCCTTGACATTCTGCAAATTATTTATAGTATTTGGCCAGAGTCGAAACTGTTAGTTTAACTATATAAATTCTGTGACTAAATATTAACCTTATTTGCCATGGTAATGCTCTTTCTTTTCTCCCGCAGTGCAACAGGACATAAAGTATATTCCTACAGAAAACGTTTCAGGTAAAATAGTATTGATAATTTTTTTTCTTTTTTTCTCTTTTGTGGGGGAAGTAATTAGGTTTATGTATTTATTTTTTTAGGGGAGGTACTGGGGATTGAACCCAGGACCTCGTGCATGCTAAGCACGCACTCTACCGCTTGAGCTGTACCCTCCCCCCAAAGTAGTATTGTTAATTTAAACCAGTAGAAAACATTATACTTTATTTTCCTAGCTTTTCCCTGGAGGAGAAGCAGCAAATTGCCTTTTATTAAAATATTTTTTCTTCTTAGATTTACCAATGGAGGAACAATTGAGGAGACTACAAGAAGAAAGAACATGTAAAGTGTGTATGGACAGAGAGGTGTCCATAGTGTTCATTCCTTGTGGGCACCTGGTAGTGTGCAAAGACTGTGCCCCTTCTCTAAGGAAATGTCCTATTTGTAGAGGTACCATCAAGGGCACGGTCCGTACATTTCTCTCATGAAGATCTAAGATTTTTGTCTGAACTTTAAAATTAATGGATTAAATGTATTTAATTTTAAGATTTATACTTATTTGGCTTCGTCAAGATTTTTTATTTATTTACAATTCAGAAAATTGTGTTTCTACAAAATATAAAGATACAAATATTTTTATATAAATCTAAAACATGAACATGCGTATTTTAGATAACAAGGGAATGACAGACTTTTGTTCTTGTGAACAAAAAATAGCAATAGCACTACAAGCACAATACTAAATAGAAATTTCAGCACTTTTGAAATTGGAAGTGTGGTAAAATTGCAGATTTTTGGACTATTTTAGAATTTTAAATATTTTGGAGTTGTATTAAGGGTCAAGAACATGAATTCTCTTTTTGGATCAATGTCATATACATAGACATAGAACATCTTGATATTTGTTGAATGACATTTTGGGGACATGCTATTTTTGTAAAGAATTCTGTGAGGAATATTTTAATAAAGCAATCAAAATCACTCTTGTTCTTAACACCTTTATTCTGTGATATTGGATAGTTTACTGACCCCCAGGCTCCTTCCGTACCTCCTTAAGACCGGAATATTGAATGACAGTTCAGGTCCCTTTATGTAAGGTGCTTCTTCATTTACACGTGTAGAGCACAGGGGTCAACCACACCTGGCTTTAATCTGTAGGTTTTTATGGGATGTCTAAGTCAAAATCAAATAATCCTCCCAGTAAATTTCCTGGTTCGCTTTTCTGTTGATTCATTCAGGAAGTCTCATGCCTGCCCTATTCACTGGTTTTATCCTCACCACTTTGGCATTAATTCTGGGACGTAGAAGGTACACTGGTTAGCAGCCTTTGGAGCAAACAGCTTGTTCTGGTAAATCAGTTTGTTCTGTGCTGCCACTGCAGCGAGATTTCCTCCTTTGCATTACTGTTTGGCACGCAACATGTTCAATTCATAATACTCTACCCTTTGTTTCCGGTAGAGTTTTTAGGGCTTTAAAACCAGAAGTAACACTATAATTGGGAATAATGTGGAGAGATAAGGAACGGCCAGTCATCTAAGCCAGTTCGAGATGTCTGCTAGAGTTCTCCAGAGAGAAAGGTTAGGAACCAGGCAAGGGGGGAGTGATTCCATCTCTTCATTCTGAGGCTGGGAGACCCTTGAGATGCAACTGATTTTACCCTTTTGTTAAAAGGTTCAGTCAGCTAGCCTCATGCTAACCACAGCGTTCTCCTGGCGTTTGAAGCTAAATTAATTGTGATGTTGCTTAGATGATTTGTAACTCAGCTATAAGATGAATATTTAGATAGTATTTACCCTTTTCACAGCATCTATTTTTTATCTGGTTCTTACTGCATATTACACGTGGTATTTGAACTTGGCCTTGTCCACCATGAAACTCTTGTTCATTTCTCATTTTGATTATATATGCATAGATAACATAGCCATCTTATTTATTCTAATATTTTTTTTAACATTTTTTATTGATTCATAATCATTTTACAGTGCTGTGTCAAATTCCAGTGTTCAGCACAATCCCTCAGTCATTCATGGACATATACACACCCATTGCCACACCTTCCTCTCTGTGATTTATCATAACATCCTGTGTACACTTCCCTGTGCTATACAGTATTTATTCTAATATTTTGCTATTTCCCTAAGTGTTAGTTAAATTGAAATTTTGTTTTGGAATAAAATATAATCACTGTAGATAGTAATGTTAGCTCCATCTGCTGATGGTTTGTCAGGCACTGTTTCTAGGTCTTTGACGTGCATTAATTCATTGGATTGTCTCCAACTTCACCCCCCATCCAACCTGGCCTTCAGTTCCCCGATAAGTGTTGTTATAATTCAGAACTTTTCAGTGGGCTTAGCTTCGTACTTGGGTTATGCTCATTATAACGTCCATCCACTCTTTTTATTCATTTCCCTCTGTTACTTGATACATTTAGCCATTAGATTCCTTTGTGGAAACAGGCAATGTCATTCAACCATCTTTACTCCCTTGGACATCCTGTGCATGGTGGTAGCCAGGGTGGATGTTTGCCATGTAAATTCCAGGCAAAACTATCAGATGGGATGCTTAAGGGATTTCACTGCTTTAGAAGCAACATTGGTACCCTTGAAACAGAGAATATTAGTGGGTCAGGATTACTCATTCTTTTAAAACTGTGCCCAGCCTCACCCTTCTATATAAGAAGAGATAGACAAGATCTGATTTCTGGAGTTTGGAGTTTGTACTGTGCAGATGATACGTAGTTCTTCAAATCGCACAATATGCCTGCTTCTTTATCACATTCTGATGTGGCTTTGCATCGTTTTCAACCATATTTTGTGGCACTTTTCCTCTTGCTCTATCCCAGCTACCTTGGCTTCCTTCAGTTTCTGAACATGACAGATTCTTTTGCTTCAGAGTGTTTGCCTTTCATTCCTCTTTCCCTAACACATTTCTCCTCGTCCTTCAGGTCTTGCTTAGCCTAGATGTTACTTCCTCAGAGAGGCCTTCTCTGACTTCTCTCACCTAAAATAGAATTTCTGATGGCCTCTTTGTTCTTTTCCTTCTTGACACGTACCACAATTTGTATTTATGCATTTGTTTAATGTCATGTTCTACTGTCAAAGTTCCATGAGAAAAGGAACCAAGTGTTTTGTTCATCGGGACACATGAAGAGCCTGACACGGAATAGGTCCTTACTGAATAAACGAGTGGATAAGTGACTCTCTGTGAGGGGGTGGTATGCGAGGGAGGCCTTCCTCCTGCTCAGTTACCGCTGCTGATAAAGTACTAAGGCATCATAATTGACAGGGAGTCACGGGCCAAAGTCTGCCCTCCGCGAGAGACCAAGGGAATTTCTCGAGAAGAGCGAGCAACCCAGTTAAAAAAAGATTTATGTAGGAGGTGAGACTGGGAGTTGTTTTCTGAAGGGTGAAGCCAGGCATTTCAAGTCAGGGAACAGCATTTTAAAAAGGGTATGAACACAGGCGTTAGAATCTTAATAATAATAATAAACTGACACATTGACCTTGCATGTACTAAGTGTCTGCGCACCATCGCAGCTGAGGCTCACTAACAAGAAAGGCATACAGCGCGGAGATTAAAAGTGCAGGCTAGGGGCTCACAGCACAGCTGAGGAGTTTGGGCAAGTTATTTAGCATCTTGGTGCTCCTGAGTGCCTCTGTGTGCAGTGGGGATAACAGCAACATCTTACGGGATTGTGAGGATTTAAAGGGCTCTTACACAGACGGTGCTTCGATGCTCAGGAAATATTAAGTTGATATCATTCTTGTTTTTTAAAGATGAAAACACTGAGGCTTAGAGAGGTTTAGTATCTCGCCTAAGGTCTCAAAGCTGGTAAGTGAAAGAGGAGGAGAACCCATATTAACTACCATCCTAAATTGGAAGAGACCTTAGGAGTTCTTTAGCAATCAGCCTGCCACCAGGATATTTGAATCCCCTCTATAAGGAACCTCTCAAAAAGTGCTCATGAGTCAGCTTTAAAAGGCAGACACAATAGAATTTAGGTTGTGCCTAAAAATAGTGATCCATATGTTTTGTCGGGTCAAAATCCAGTTCAAATTAGCTTGAAATATTATATCCTATCACACTATGGTGTGATAGGATATAATATATCCTATTGTACCATTTTCCAAACACGCGTAGACACTTACACAAAATAAATATCCATGGGAAAAGCATCATTAAATTTACTCAAAAGAGCTTTTCCAGTATGATTTATCAATTGATGGATATTAAAAGTGTCCAACTATAATGTGAGCATTCTCAATATTTTGAGAGGTCTTCACACTTCAAAATATTGGGAACCATTAGTTCAAAGTAGATTTGTGTTGGCTAATATATTCATCCCTAGCTGGGCTATTGAGCACTTAAAATGTGGCTCAGTTTGAATGGAGATGTCCAGTAAGTGTAAAATACACAATAAATTTCAAAGACCTAGTACAGAAAAGTACAAAATGTCAATAATTTCTATTAATCACATGTTGAAATGGTAATATTTTAGTTATGTTGGGTCATATGCTATTAAAATTTCCCTTGTTTCTTTTCACTTTCTTAATATGGTTACTAGAAAACTTTAAATTACTTATGTAGACCACATTACATTTCTGTTGGTCAGCACTGATCTAGACAAATAAGATTGCTCTTAATTTTATTGTTTCAAGACATTAGCGACTCATCAGAGCATATTAAAAGGTAGTGTGTACTATGAAATATCCTCTCTGGAAAGCCACTCTGTGCCCTCCCCATCTTTCCCCCAGGCTAGGTTGAAAGCTTCCTTGTGCTCCTGTGTGGTCCCTGTGCTGGACTTTATGATGGTGCTCATCACATTGTATAGGGTTTATTCACTGGTCTCTTTTGCTAGTTTGTGAGCTCCTGGGAAGGGGGCTGGTTTTTATTCTCCCTGTTCTTAGAATTTATGCATGTGGTATGTATTCCAGTATTCATTTTTCCAGTTTTATTGATGTCTAATTGACATACAGTACTAAGTTTAAGATATCCAGCATAACGATTTGATTTACAGACATCATGAAGTGATTACCACAATAATTTAGTAAAAGTCTATCATCTCATACAGGTGAAAAATGAAAGAAGTGGAAAAAAATTTTTGTGTATGAGAAGTCTAGGGATTTACCCTTGTGACAACTTTCATGTATAACATGGAGCAGTGTTAATTA